TAAACAAATTTAGCGATTTATTTATACCGTGCTGGCAACTGTTACTCTTGTGTCGGTATTTACATGTGTGGAAGTAAATCGCATAAGGATCTTATTAAGTCGGAGTGAGAGAAATGCGACGGAGTGCTGTTGCGGCGTTGCCGCTACGCCTTTCCCTATCAAGTAAAATCACGATCACAAACCACTTATTTTTAAAAGACTTTTTTTTCGAAAAGATAACTAGATAAAATCATTAGAAATGTTTCTAAGCATCTGAAATGGAATTATAAGGATATCTTTAGGGTGTCATTTTTTAATAACGAGAAAACGTCAGTAATCGCGATAATTTAAAAACTCAACTTTTTAACTCATAACATGCCATAACTCAAGAAACACTTTAGATATTGAAACTTTTTTTTATTTTGAAGATAGGATCTTTTACAATATGTTTACATAAGAAAAATAATAAATATAATAAAATCGGTTTTAATATAAGGTTTTTTTCCATTCAAAAATTAAAACAACCCATTTATTTACTTTTAGAGCATAAGATTTTCACTTACTGTCTACGAAGAAAATACAGCAGAAATATTAAGAAAGTTTTTGAAAAAACTACAATCAATTATTTCTATTAGATTTCGAGATGTCGATTTTTGAATTCAGAGTTCTAATAGCCCGACCACTACCGAAAACCAACTCAATTCCACTTATTTTTACCAAAAATGCAAGTGTTTCTAGCTTGCACTTGAAAATTTTCAAGCTATAGGGAAAATTTCAACGTCTCGTTAATAAATAAACAAATAGAGTATCACGAGACGTGAAAAAAAAATCATTAAATCGTGAAGCTGAACGCATGATGTACACCTTTCCCTAGAACTTTAAGTACTGACAGAGGTACTGATTGGGTCGACCGGTCAACTGCGACAAATCTGCTATATCCCCTTCCACGTCTCTTAGCAATGTGCACAGTTTCTCGATTCATTTTATATGTTTGGCAACGTGTTTACTGTTCTCTTTTTGTTCAGTACATGATAAACGCATTGTACTCTTCTTACTTACGGAAATCTCGACCCAAGACTAACCTTTGCGAGCCCTTAGTATGACCTATTATCAGTGGCGGACTAAACCTGTTGGGGGCCCGGGGCGGCAAAGCTAAATGTGGCCCCCGCTCTTTTTAGATAATGGTATACTTCTAATGCACATTTTGTAAAAATTGAATGACGTATATATAATGGTTGACAAAATTAACTTTTAACGCAGGCTGAGGGAAAAAACTGCCTGTCAAAAATATGTATATAGCCTAAACGTCAAATTTAGTGTGATTGCCACAGCCACTGTACCATAAAGAGAAGACATGTGGCTATCTGTGTCAAAAATTAAATTGTCTGAATGTCATATAATAATGACCGCAGCTGTCATGGAATTGAGCCATTAAAAAATTATCATAAATCCTTTTTTTTCAAATGGGAATCCACTTTTTTTATTTCACTCGTGAAAAGGCTTTCGTTACTTTCATTTTTAAAATTTGTTACTGTTGGACTATACAAAGTCCTGTACCTAAAATACATCGTTTTTAAGTTATTTAAGATTTAGCTTTAAACCGTATATTTTTCTTGATTTTAGCCAGTAGCCTATGACAGTCTATTATCGATCATTTCCAAGTTAACTTTGTGCTATTTTTTTTTCGATCGTACGGTATATTATTAAAATATCAACTATTAGATATCACTAAAGAAGAAAATACGAGATATATTTATATAAATAAACTTTTTAAACTTTTAAACAGCAGTAGTTATTAGTAGTTATAATATAGGAAATTCAAATAATTAATTTTCTGACAGATGGAAATAAATTGTTTGACTGTTTGACACTTAATGTCAAAGGAAGCTAGACAAAATCAAGAAAAATATACGTTTTCAAATTAAATCTTAAATAACTTAAAAACGAGTTATTTTAGGTATAGGAGTATGTTATGTCTAGTTAAAACGTAACGAATTGGAAAACCTTTTCACTAGTGAAATAAAAAAAGTGGGTTTCCATTTGAAAAAAAATATTTATGATAATTTTTTAATCGCTCAATTCCATGACAGCTACCGCCATTATTATATGATATTTGAACAATTTAATTTTTGAAATAGATAGCCATATGTCTTTCCTTTATGTCACAGGGGCTGTGATATCACTAAATTTGACTTTTAGGCTGTACAAATTTTTTTGACAGGTAGTTTTTTTCGTCTAAAAATTTTAAATTATGTTTTTCTTAAAATGCTTCCAGGGAAATACCGCGACAAAATATCGGGATTTTGTAAGTCCTCCAAGATCCGAGGGGCCCCTTCGCTGTCTCAGGTTCGTCGCCCCCGTTATACTAAAGACTTCACTACTTCACTGCTCATCATCAGTAATGAAGCTAGAATACAAGTTATGCTGTGCATTGGTTGTAATTTAAAATGTTTATTCAGTAAAAATAAATAATGAAACCATTGAAAAATAACTTATAAGCTAAAATAAATAAATCCAGTCCCAAAATATATAAAAAATAATAATTATTCGATATTTTAAACAAAGAAACTTACCCCTTGATTTAATTTCCTAAATAGAAAATGCCATTGACAATTACTGGGGCCTGATAATTGATAATAAAGTAAGTATCCGCTTCCATTTATACTGTTTATAGTTGGAGTATACGAATGGTTTGCATACTCCACCTACAAACTGCTTTATAACTACTACTGAACACATATTAGCCTTGTTTGCCAGTTGAATAAAAAATTACTTATTAAGATTCGGAGGCCCCCTAAAAGACGGGGCCCGGGGCGGACCGCCCCTTCCGCCCCCCCCCTTTGTCCGCCACTGCTTATTATTCTCCTCAAATTTCCCAAAATATTGTTTCTGTCGAAGAGCATCCGAGGTAATCACAAAAAAAAATATGTTTAACACAACGTAGTCTCCTTTCTTTCATTTAAATTGTTTGTTATACAGTTGGCCAAAATATTACCTCTTTAACTTTGTTGACGAACTTGGGTTGTTACACTAAAAAATTTTAACTGACTATTTCAAATAAAACGAAATTCTAGGCGAAAGTACAACTTTAACGCTTCTTTAAAAAAGTCTAATACAATTTTTGCATAAAATTATCTGGGGAGATAATATATGACATTTTCAAAATTTACATGGGATTCCCTATGCACTATATGGTATATGAAATTTGCTTAAAATAATAAAAAAGAAAATAAGCATCGAAAATCTTCACTGCCTCCTGTACTAGACGAATTTCGAGCGGTTTTGCCGAATATTCCTGCCCTTCCTCGTAGATAAATACCGGCTCAGTTTGAATATGAAGTGACGGCCGCGGCAGGACGAAATAGACGAAACTACGTGCGAGCAATTTATCATCATCAGCCGGAGAGCCGGCAAATGAATAATTGGAAATCATTTATTTTCAGCGCTCCACTTTGCCGCCGAACTAGTGTTTGCTTCTTGGTCGAAGATTTATATAAATTGCCAAGATTAATTGCTGGAAGTGGGTCCCAGAACATAGTTGTTTAAAGATATCTAAACTAGAACGGCCTGATGAGTACGGTGTGAGTAGTTTCAAGACAACTGCTTGGCTAAATAATAGAGCTAATCATATAATAATATGATGTCCCTACTGTCAACAGATAAGGAAAATCAAAGTAAAACCTCTGAAGAGGGGTAAGGGGACAAATAACTCACAATCTTTAAGATGTTTATTTAAATTTAAATGCTTCAATAAAAGCATTTAAATTTAAATAAAGAGATATATATATTGATCTGCAACTTTGAAACCTGCTATTTCTGTTGTATCGATACTCATTAATTTTGTTTTTCTTTTATTTAGTTTTAACCCATATCTCTCACTGACCACCATCACACCAGACACCACCAGAAAATACATATACACCCACATATCTATTAACTGAAGCAGCCATTGTGATGCAAAAATATTATTTGAAATTTTTCACCAAGGAATATGCTAAATAATATAGGTACGTATTTTCCACATCCATATTAATTTATATAAATACAATAAAAAGCCTCCAAACAGATCAGCTGATTCAAATTCAAATTCAAATTTCTTTATTAGACCCCATTAAGTTTTACAGAATAATATTACTATTAATAAATGTGTGTCTAAAGGGATTGCACCGCGATTAAAAAACCGATACAATGGCAAAAGTGCCAGAGTGGTGCGACCCCACTTGTAATCGTGTCTCTGGGATCAAAATATACTACCTCTAAAGATATTTAAACTTAGTTAAGATTCATCGTGTATATTCTTTTAAAGACATTTCTAAAAAATGGCAATTTTATTTTATTTCAGTACATAAATTAGTGGCCAACCTTTGGTGTTACTACATAAAATTACTTAATTTATTCACCATATTACAAAATACCATACATAACTGAATTTGGGTTATAAACATGTAATAATGAGTCGTTAAAGTGTGTAATTTTCTATTTAAACATCAAAGGTTTTACTCCAACGTTTATAGGTTATAAATTATTGTTAAAATTTTAATAAAGTGCGTGTTTCATAATACCGAAACCTATGATTGACATTTATCTATAAAATTTCTATCAAATTGAAAATTAGAAAAACTAAATTAATTCAAAAATGAAAAATAAGAAAAAGATTGGTTTAACTGTACTCTCAAGTATTGTTTGTACTTTTTAGTGCAAACCATGTACAAGCCATGTACAGATTTTTTTCAAATTAGAAGAGAATCCAATCTAATCTAATCTAAACTAGTTTTCAGTATTATTTAGAAGGCTGATTCTAATATTCTGATAATGTAAAAAATTGAGAATTTAACTGACTTAAAAATAACACCTTGTCCTTTATTTAAACTGGTAATTTTATATAGTTAAAACATATCACGTACAATTGAACTGGAGAACAAATCAGAGTAAGTAAAACTTTTAACAAGCACATGTAACAAGAATTTAAAGCTGAAAAAAGAGGTGGAATGGACGTTAAAAAGGGCTTTTACAAGACTTACCCCGTTCTGGCGAAATTGCTCCAGTAGATCATGGTAATTTCGGACAGAATTACTTCCGATTTCGTGTAGTTCCTGCCGAAATGCATGAAGCCGCCGACTAGGGGGGCGCCGAACAAATAGGGCAGCTCCTCGCCGTGGATACAGCCCTGCCTCTGCAATTAATCGAGAGAACTAATGAAGGATCTTGTCGTACAGACGAGACGAAGTAATATTAGCGTGTGGGCGGAATATAAAGTAACAGTTTCCGAGGAATTTTCATTTCATTTTCGTGTAAGCACAAGTGAATATACAGGAGTTTTTGTATTAAAAATATGGGTAAAAATAGAAAAAAAATGGAATAAATCGCGAACATTAAAAGTAGGTATATGACGTACTTAATAAAAGTTGAAGAGTTTTGTAAAATCTATCAGAAAAAAGGTTAATATACAAGGTGAGTTTTCTACGATGTTCTCTATGGGTATCTCGGAAACTACTGGAGATAGAGAGTCGTCTAAATAGGAAAATAATTGCAGTTTTATGGGGTCATAAATATGCACCTTTCAGATCTTTGAAAAAGTTCATGGCTTACTAGATATTTCGAAAAGTACAAATTTTAGTTATTTTCAAAATCGTCCCGTCTGTTTCACATTTCTGAGTGCAACGACGATAGAACTTGTTTCCATAGCCAACTAAGTAAAATTGTTTAAAAATGATGTAAACTTAGTAATTTTTCGAAAAAATATATTACCTATAGCTTATATGACTGAAAAAAGGCTTAAAATAGCGAAATTTTTATGAAGTCATGGCCAACTTTGTTTTCCGTTTAAAAAAAAACATGTTATATTTGTATTATATGTCAAAAATTACAGGCTTTAGAAAGAATCGGAGAACACAAACTCATTAGAGATGTGATTATCTACAGCTTTTATCTGAAAACTTTTTATCAAAAATAGATTATAATGGAATTAGGGACAATCTTTAAAATAGCCAAAATTTGTTTTTTTAATTATCTAGCATGCCATGAACTTTTTCAAAAATCTGAAAGACGCATATTTATGACCTCTCAAAACTGCAATTCTTTCTCTATTTAACCGACTCTCTATCTCCAGTAGTTACCGATATACCCACAGAGAACATCATTCAATTTTAAGTACCTAGTTGTAATTTAAAAATATATTTTGTAGTATCACACAATAAATATATTTTGTAGTATCAAACACCCTGTAGTATCTAACTAAAATGTCTTTATATATATCTTCTTCTTCGTCTCTATAAAACTCTCTTACCAAGTTTTAGTAGTCCAACTTCAGAAACAATGGCTGATCATGAGACAATGGCAATCACTGAGAATTTTTTACCACACCGAAATATAACAAAGTTTAAACAAATTGAAATATTACAAAAACTATTAATTTTAGGTATATATATAACATTATGTTTATATAACAGGATCTAAAAAGAAAATAAAAAGTAATGTGTTGCATTTAAAAAAACATATGTTATGTCCGCCACACTTTTTTGAAGCATCTTGTAAACTTTATAATAATTTTAAAATATGTATTTTAACCTTCTCTATACTTTTGTATTTTTATTTGTAAACCTCGAAACAAATGAGATAATAGACTTTACTCTGTCGTTGATTCACCCTGTACAGGGTGTTCCATTTACGTCGAAATCATACGGTATTTCCGTTATTAGTAAAGATGGGAGGATGCGATTTGTACAAACCTGCTCCACTTTTTTGTCAAACGGAAGACGCTGTAAACAAAATTTTCATAGCCCTCTTCGTTTCCGAGCTACATGGTTTTTCGAAAATTTTGCTATTTGGGCCAGCCCCCCGAGATAAAATAAGTATTGTAATACAAACAAACCTGTATGAAGTTTCAAATTTAAATATTATTTCCATATCTTACTGGAGTTCAGTTTCAGTGGAATAATTGATTTGGTTTGGTAATCTGTAATAAAATAATTAACTGCTAAAACTCTTCGAGAGACATTCTCTATAAGATTTTCAATAATGTCTTTGTCGATACCCTCATTAACTTGCAGGGAAACCTCGAAGGTACATAATATCGTACAGAATTTGAATTTCGTTAGCGACTGAATAGACTATAAAATATGTCCACCTCACCCCCTGTAACTAATTAGCGAGAACTAATTATGAAACTAGTATCTGGGTAACGTCTTACGCTGCACCGCATAAGACTGACGAACAAGTCTACTTACAAACGAGATTACTTGTCATTTCGTAGCGAAATTATTAATTAATTGTGACGGTGGTGGTATGGGGATGACTTCACGCTGACGGGAAGCCAGAAAAAACAAGTAGGGGTGGATTGATGAGGGAAAACATTGATAAATTATTTGACTATTATGATTAATTTCAGTTTTACATTATTTTTGTTTAATTTTGTACAAAAAATACTATTACATCCACCATTGTTTTCAAGTACAAGAGTAAAAATGTAGTGTTACTATATTTAAATAAATTTAAGACAATTTAAATTCAAACGATGGATATATGAATATCATCACCATCATCATCATTTTCACCTTATTCAACCATTTCCAATTATGATGTAGCCTCTCTCACTTATTTAGATATTTTTTTGTAGTTGGGCCCATTGTTGGTCTATTGTTGGCCAACTAACTTCATAATCATTATTAATTTTATAGTCCCATGTCAGGTTTTTTATTCTGCTAGGTCTCTAATTCCTCGTGGGTACCATACTGTAATTTTTGTGATCCATCTGTTGTCCGTGCTTCTTGCCAGGTGTCCTGCCTACTGTGGATAACATCTATTATCGAGTTTTTTTTGTATCCAGTGTATTCTTTTACGGTCTTTCTTGATTATTCCCAGCGTATTTCGTTCCATTGAGCATTATGTGATCTACAGTTTCCTTATAATGTCCGTTATAAGTGTCCAGGTTTCGCATTCATATGTCATGACTGGTAGGACATATTGGTTGAATGATTTCTTCTTTAGATAAAGTTGCATTTCAGATTTAAATGTCATTTAGTTTCTACCATAAATAGTCCATTCTAACTTAATTCTTCTGTTGATTTCTGGTAGTAAAAATCCCAATATATGAATCATCATCATTATCATTTAGCTTATTCCGTCCACTGCTGAACAAAAGCCTCTCCCAACTCTAGCCATTTCTTTTTGTGAGACTTGCATCCAGTTTCCAGCTACTCTCTTAATATATCTGTCCAGCGACTAGGAGGTTGTCCTCTGCTTCTATAGACCTCGTGCCTTGGTCTCCATTCCATAAGTTTCTTTGTCCACCGTCCATCTGTTATTCTAGCCACATGTCCTGCCCAATTCCATTTAAGATATAAGACAGATATCATAAATATATTTTTAATTATATATTCATATAAGAATATATGATTCAATATATGATAATAAATAGTTAAAATGTGCACTACATTTGTACCTGATTTAGATTATTAAACATTTCATAATACTGAAATTTATGATAACCATTTCTTCATAAATTTTCTATTTATAAAAATTCTTGATTTTCATTATCAGAAAGATTCTTAGTTTGATTCTTGGTTATTGAAAATACAGAGTGGTCCGAATTGTATTCCGGACACTTCGGCAGCATATTCTGCAGACTAAAATAAGTAAAAAAGTTCGTAAAAATGTATGTCCTAAAATGCTTAGTTTCGGAGATACAGGATGTAGAAATTTCATTTTTATTTCGATTTTTTCCAAATAATTTAAGAAGTAACGTCAATATTTGGATGAAAATTGGTGTCTGGCAGTTTTTGGACAGGAGAAATTTGATTTTCATGTCAATATGACTCCTACTTGTAGAGGGCGCCACCTACATATGCTTTAACTGGTTTGAAGAGTAATAACTTTTCATCCATACCTGTATAAAACTACTGAGTAAAAAAATATATATATACAACTTTAATGTTAATAATTAATATACATTTACAACTTTTTTTACATAAAAAAGGTCTCTTGGTAAAAATCGCTACGAGTAATGGTTCTCGAGATATTTGAAATTGAAATTATCAATACTTGTCATCATTGACAAATTAAACATGTTGACCAAATTAAATAGTTATTAGACTGAACTCTTAAATTTGAAATCTTTTTGTGCTAAAAGTTCAACAGAAACTGTTTAATCATCATTTTTTCGCAGAAAAATTTATGATTAATTTAAAAAAATAAACATTTACTATTTCAGTCAAATAATTTTATTCAACGTGTGCTTATTTTTTGTCAATAATGACATGTATTGACTATTTCCATTTTAAATATCTTGAAAACGGTTGCTCGTAGCGATTTATTACCAAGAGACATTTTTTTACATAAAAAGCCATGGAAATGTATATTTTTTTTTATTCAGTAGTTTTATACAGGTACCATCGAAAAGTTATAACTCTTCAAAACAGTCAAAACGCATGTAGGTGGCGCCCTCTACAAATAGGTATCATTTTGACATCAAAATCAAATTTGTCGTATCACAAAACTCCCAGACACCAATTTTCATCCAGATATTGACGTTACTTCAGAAATTATTTAGAAAAAATCGAATTAAAAATGAAACTTCTACACCCTGTATCTCCGAAACTAAGCAATTTAAGACATTTATACTTATAATACATTTATACAAACTTTTTTATCTGCAGAATATGCTGCCGAAGTTTCCGGAATACAGTTCGGACCATCCTGTATATTAGAAGAGCCAGGGTAACCAGGGAAACAGGGTTTCAAAAAACATGTGCCATCTTTCGTGGGGAGATTCCTCATGTAAAAATAAGATTTATTTTTCATATCAACATAGGTCTGATTCTGCTTTGTTTCGTAGCTACAGGGTGTTAAAATCTTAATATTTTTTCGATTTATTATAATTTTCTTCCAAGTACTTTTAGCGTTCCAAATGAAATTTTGATGTTAAAAGTTACTATAATGCGACATATTTTAAAGCTAAAAAAGTGTCGACATATTCACCAGGGACTTGCATATTGGTTTTCACTGGAATATTTTTCTAAAAAAAACATGTACGCCACTGACTTTTTTCTCTTGTTAGCGCAATAGTGTAAGCAGTTTATGCCGATTTAAAGTTGTCTCTTGATATTTTGTCGATATCGGTCTCCTTGATGAGATAACCACAATTTTATTAATCACAATTAATAAAATTAATATAAA